GACAGCGGCCACAGGGAATTTCAGGTCTTCCCGAAGCCCTGCCGCCCTTCCCGAGGGGGGTCAGTGGCGGGGATGCCTCCCCCCGGCCCCGGCATCCCCCCGGTCCTCCCCCCGTATCGATTCCAGTCCGGCGCTGGCAGCGTTTAGGCCGGGATTGGGGGATAATGGGAATATCATCTGGAGACAATTACCTTTGGAGCGCGCTCGCTTCTCCTCCCAGACACTGTTATTTGAGCAATAGGATCATTTGATTTCATATCGCACTAAATAACCCCCGGCCGCCGCAAATTGCCGCCTTCTCAACAGCCACCCCTTGGAATAAATTGCACAGCGACTCCTTGGGCTCCGACTTCTTCTTCTTCTTCTTTTTTTTTTTTTTTTTCCCCTTCTTTCCCCCCCTCCCTCTTCTCTGCAGAACGATATTTCGGGAGAAGCAGGGACGGAGGCCCGATGCTGGTGAATAAACTGTGTCCAGCAAAGCTCCAGCTCCCTTAATAAACCAAGCAGCCAAACCCTACCCGCACCGCTTTTCCTCGTGTTTTTCTCTCCCCCTCCCTCGTCTTCTTTTTTTTTTTTTTTTTTTTTTTTTTTTTTTTTTTTTTGTCCTTTCTTTCCTTCTTTCCTTCTTTTCTTTTTTCCTTTTTTTTTTTCTTCTCCCCGTTAAGGCAGCTTTCCCCCCGCCGGGTCACACCAACACCAAGGCTCGATGTGTCTTTAAGGCTCTGTCAGTGCTCGCCTGATAATCTGGTCATCGCCGGCCTCATTAGATCCGTATTAATGTCAGCCACGGATTGCTAATTAGATTTGCGGGATAAATGAAATTACCCGAGTGGGCTGCGTGGGAGGGGGAGTGCAGTCTCCCAGCACTTCCTGGGATTTACAGGGGGAAAGATAAAAAAGGAAAAATAAAAAGGAAAGACATAATTTTATTTTCCGTTCTTTTCTCCCTTCTTTCCCCTCCTGCCCCCTGAGCTCCATCCCCTCCCCGGGCTCCCCTCTGACAGCCGCTAACCGAGGAATTGCCCGAAGTTCTCCCCGGGGGTTCTGCACCCATCGGTGCCGCACCGGGCGCTCCGTGCCCAGGGACCCCGCTCGTGTTGGGTTCATGGATCCCAGGGAGCGGCGCTGGGGTGAACAGCACTGCCCTGCTGGGGTCTCACAGGGGTCGAGGGAGAGACTGACGGCATTATTCATCCTGTTTATTTATCCTTATTAGAAAATGGGATGAAAGAGCAGGGCCCGGCGCCTGCCTTTAAGCGCCGGCTGAGCGGCGCGCACACAGCCCCAATTAAACACTGCCCGCACGAGGCCTTTCTCCATATGAGAAACCCAGCTCCGTTTAACGAGGACCAATTAAATCCTGCTTCATTTTACCTGGCATCTCACAATAGATGTGACAACAAATTCCCCTTTCTTCTGC